GACCTAGTTTCTATTTCCACATATCGAATTATCTTAAAAATTTGAAAAGAAAAGCTGTTTGCTGGTGCGAAGGCTATACACTTATCGCACATCATTCAGGCGTAATTTTACTTCACATATTTACTGAGAAATTACGAATTTCCTGTCAAACCTATGTGTCATACAGCCCACATATGTGTCAAAAATTCCAAACCTGAACAACTGACTACTGCTTTGAGCACAAAACATGGTTCAAGCAAACACTTGCACTCGATAGACGGAATGATTTTTGGAATAATTTCAAAACTGGCATCCCCTATTTCATCCGATTACAAAAAACCAACTTCAGCACATTAGGAAAGAGCTAGAATGTAAATCACTTCCACTTTAGGCCGCACTAATAGTTTGCTTGGACCAATCGTCCGATCGTACAACAGTGTGTGCTAGATATGTTGGATCGTCCGACTCATCTGATCGTGGGATCGTTGCGATCGCATGACTACGCATACCAGTTCGTTGAGACATTGGGCGATTGGCTCGTCTAAACTGTGTCTACGGTCTAACGCCGAGCACACTTGAAGGATGCTCGCTGTATTAGGACTTGCTGAAGGCAACTTGCAATAAGCTGATACCGTTGAATTGTGAATGAAGAGGGCAAACTGTGCGTCTATGAAAAGAAAATAGCAAAATAGTCCAAAACCGGAAAAAGGCACCCTATTCTCTCCAGTTGTTTCTGAATTACGCGTGATGTTGTAGCTACCCTCCCTTGTTGAAGCACTCTTTTCTCTGAAGGGTCGCGCTGTCTGAGTCTAGAAACGCAGAGTATGGTTGTCCTATGACGCAACCCTGTCCCCAATAACCGTAGGATTAGCGGCGGGGGAGGCGTCCTCCTGGGAGAAGGATAGGACACGGACCCAGTTTGCTACAGCAAAGCTTTCGCAAAATGTCATAGCGAAGCACCAACCTTAACTTCCTTAATTTCTTCCTCCTTGATGATGCCATCCCCTGCCGCCGCAGTTTCCTCATCTTCCTGATCGCTGTATCCACTAGCATCCCCGTCAGCTTCCTCGCCCACATGCACTCTTTGGTCTTCTAGTCCAGCTGCCTGTAATGCAACAAAATGCTGTGAAAGAACAACTACAAAAAGATGGAAATTCACATAAAACCTATCGATGAAAACATCGAGGAACGCTTGCTAATTTCAATTCGAATTCAATTTCAATTACTTCAAAGAAACACCTACGATGGGATCCAACAGACTTGACCTCTGTAGTAAAACTTTGATGGTGACAACACAGCCAGCAGTGACTTCAAAGGCGTCGTCTTCGCCTTCCACTAAAATAAGGGAACTCGGACTATTGAAGAAAACAATATTTAATAATATCAGTATTCTCGAACATAACAGAACGGAAAAATCACGGAGTACTATCCCTAGAATATTACGGAAGACCAGCTTGTCACTTTTTATAGGGTAGCTGGGTAGGATATGGCCCAAGATATACGACGATGAAGTTGGGGCGTTCTTGGACGAGATTTAAGCTGGGAACTCGTGACCACTTCCATAACAGACAGGAGAGATAACAATCGATACTAGTCAGCAACGCGGCCCTGCTGCACCACAAGGGCGCAACAACGGATAATCACGACAGAATGAGAAGATACAAGTTATAGCAGAACAAATTTAACATAAGTAGACAGAAGCAGACGAATTTAAGCAGGCGGAGTTCGTAGTCACGTCCACGAGCCTAGTCCAGAGAGATGAGAATTAATAATGTTCGCAGTGAGGGAACAGTCCAAACTGAACTGCGCAGAGATCAGATTTCCAGCTCTGTTTCACGATGGTAGAGACACAAACATGTAACACAACCCTTCTCGCTAATTATACCGCTTGAACGTGGAGCCTGCTCCGCGATCTCTTTCCTCTCTCCAAGAGGATGAGGAAGGATTGCATTGAGAAAAGGAAGAATGATGATTGTTAGTCGCCTCCACACCGCGCGGTTCATCTGTGTGCTCTCAGCAGGATAACGATGACATTACATGACATACTCTGCAACGAGAATCCGCGCAGCAGAAGGGCGGGGTAGAGGCGCGGTGGGGCAGGAATGTAGCGATCGGGGACGCAAGTGCAATGACACTGCTCTCGATGAGGTGCAGACAGTCTTGTGATGCACGACGACTGGAAACACTCTCACCCGTGTGTGAGAAACAACGGACTTTTTTCTTCAAAGGAAAAATAGACGACGGCCCCACGTGGAATCCAAAGCGATTGTGCTTATGCAAGCGGCGTCGCGCGCGCCAGTTGCACTGTGGGAGTAAGTCACCAGGATACCGGACGGGCGGAGCTTCAGTTTCACCCCGCGGCTGCTGCTACCTCTTACCTGCATCTTGGAATGCTGGAAGGAACGAACTCATAATAGGTGGGGCGTTCATTGGATAGGAGTTCAGTCGAGGAACTATAATATTACTCCTGAATGATCCAATGGTTGGAAATTGGCGCAAACAGGTGGCAGCTCCCAGAACTGCAGCTTGGAGTTCATCATTACTAATTGGGCAGCTTGCGGAACTTCGTATGTCGATTACATGATGACTAAAACACCGAAGAAAAATCAGAGGAGGTATGACGTTTGTCTGGCCAAACTTAGTCCTCAAAAGCATACTGTGCAAGGCTAAGCGTTTTGGTCATTCGTACACAAAAGTCGGTGATAGAGAAGCAAAGAGAAAGTCATCACCGAGAGCGGTTATTCCTTGCGACTCCCTTGCAATTCGCTTGCAGCTTTTGTGTGAATTGGTATGCATCGGCCGTATTATCGAAACATACTTAATAAACACTCGAGCAGCAAGCGAACTGCGAGGGTGTTGCAAGGTACCGTGAACTAAGCGAAAAGTGACGAATAAAAAGCGGAGAAGCCAGGAATCGAAAAGTCAAAACCAACTCCGCGAGGGTGATATGGCGATGTGGCATACATAAAAATTTTACAAATGAAAAATAAGTAGGTATGAAAATATATAATGATGTCAGAACTCACCGACAACGGTAGTTTGAATAGTCAGCCGTGGCATGGAAGACAGCACAACAAGGACATCACGATATTCTTCGTCTGATAAAGATTTAAGGAGAGCACGTCGCTTCTCTCCATCTAGTGCAGCTAAATCTCCACAAGAAAATACACGTCCCTGGAAGTGGTAAAAGTGAAGTGTAAAGTGTGGAGGTAAACCGGATGTTGATATTTTGTTTTATGTCAGTGAGCATCAGCTGGTTATTCGAAAGCGACGACCACTAGGCTTGTTTGGCAGCGTATTCTCCTTTTGACGAACAAGGCCTATTACCCCGATACAACACTTTTAATATGCCCGTGATTAAAAATATGAGGAAATAGGAAGCTTTAGCAAGAAGAGGTCCTCCTATAAATAGCGAAATCGCCATGAATCATTCGGAAAACAGTGAGAGAAACCGGAAGCAGTAACGGAGCGATGATATATCTAATGAATTATAAGTTGATACAGTCTCAGGAAAAACGGAAATGATGAGATGCAGAGCTACGTAGACGACTTCAAACAACGGAAAACGATGCGAATGAAAAGAAAAACATAAAGGGATGGGGGAAAGAAGAAAACTTTCGAATAGGAAAAAGGATAAGCCGACGATAGGTGGACAGGCAACCATCGAAGTAAATATAACAGAAAAAAAGTAATCAAGTATTCTGGGGCGCTATCGCAAGATACCGGGCATCCTCTAGCGCTTTCAAATGCACTGCGACCACAATGCTCCCTATACCGCCAGGATTCTTTCTCCAAAAGCGAAACACACACAGGTACCTCCTCAGCACATTTTTCGGAAAACTGCCAACATTGAGGTTACTGCCTCACAGTGAACCTCACCATTCATTTGAAGGAATCCTACATAGAAAGTGAGGAAGCGAAGAGCACAATGAAAGAAAGGCCAAATCTTGGATTCACTTTGGCTAGAGTATAAGGACCTAAGTGTACGAAGATAAAAAAAAGGAAGACGACGACTACCTTTCTGAGATACGGAAGATTATGATCTGTGATATGAGGAAGTTGGAGAAGAGGACTATTCTTCGGCCACAAGCCCTGCACAAACATTGGCTGCAGTCGGAGTAGATTATCCAGTGTTTCTATAGGTACCTTGGTCTGAAACGAGTATACTATATCCAAGATTTTGCTCGAAAAGGATGACACAGCTACTATGCTGAAACACCGACCTGAGTGTAGAAAGTGAGTTGCTGTGAAATTGAAATCATTTCCTCGGTAAGTCGTAACACACGAAGAAGCACGTAACTGAAAATGCTCAAGAGTCCAGAATTCCATGCGTTTTTCAACTACTATTCAAAGTGACCACAGAAGGGGATAACCACAATAATTAAAGCTAAAAAACAAAGATCGAGAACTTGACACGAACCGCTGGTCGTACTCGAGCCCTTCGTTGTCCAGTGGAATACGGGTGAGATAAGAATGGATAAGAATTCGAGCTTTAAGTGAATAAGGAAGTGAAAGTGGACGTTCCTTCTTATTTTCGCCAAGATTGGGAAGCGATTTCATCCGACTGAAAGGGTCATTAAAATTTGTCAACCAACAGAAATGAAATTACAAATAAAATAGAAAATGAACAAGAAATTCACCGTGTTAATTCAACATCGTCTGTTTCTCTTTCAATGATTTCCTTGTTGTACTGTTTCCAAAATTCAAACGCTCCTCCAAGCAACATTAACATTCCTGAATAGTAGTTATCATATCTTAAGCAACAGTTTAACACAATACGGCTGCGCTGCGCATTTGTGGAACCGGCATCGTTCGAAAAAGTTAAGCAATGAGAAAGAGCTAGTTCTAGCCGAAAACTGAAGTGGAAAATTACAAGCAACCCACGATTGATTTCCATTTTGGGAGTTTTGTGTAAGAAATAGTAGAACAACTGTGTTGTGTCCAGCAAAACCTTGTCCACATTATACTTGATCGAATTATACCACCAAATACCCTTGAAATACAAATTATAAGCTGAGTAATCTTTTAATGCCAAAATAAAGAATACTCACCACAGCTACTGGTAAAACAACCATAAACAGAAGTCCGTAAAAAGCTAACACCCACAGCCCATACTCTTTGCTCACAAGCCACTTCGGCAATGCAATACCAAACGTTGTCGCTGAAATGCAACGAAAATGAAATCAAGGAATACGCAGAAAGGGGCGTGAAAACGAAAACAGACGAAGTGGCATCCTACCTGTAGGTCCGTCAGGGTTACCGTATTTCTCCCAATTCTCACGTGACTCCTCATCAGTTAGAGCTTGATAGGCTTTCGCTATTCTATCGAACATTTGGGCATCACCACCTCTATCAGGATGAAGCTTTTTCGAAGTTCACGATATGCTTTTCTAACAGCAGCTGTATCTGCTCCCTGAATGGAAGAATTCTATAATTTCGGCGGAAACAAACGAAAGCAAAAATGTACGAACCTGATCTAAACCTAGGATTTGGTATGGATTATATTCTTCATGCGTGACTTCGATTTCTGTCACCTTCTTCACGATCAGCGCAAACACAACCCATGCCAACAGAAGAAGCTGATATTGGAAATCGATAAACCACATACGTTAAGATTGATGTACATTGGACATATTGGTGGAAAAAACTGTGAAGATACTTACAACAACAGTCAATATTTTCTTTGTACGCTTCCAAGGTCGATTCGCCTCCTTCTGTTGCCGTTTTTTCACACAACCATGACATTGACAATCATGTTCATCAACTTTGAGTTGCTCTGCAAAGTGTATACTCCTTAGCATGAAGAAAAAAAGTAAAAAAAATTAGTTTAATATCACTGTTGGTTATGTTTTTCTTTGGAGCTTCTAACGGAACCATCGGAACCGCTAGAGGGATAGGGCGCTTGGTGGAGTAGAATGTGTCATGTCAACCTTGAACCGCATTTAGGCCTCAGAAGACGACGATTTTGTCGAAACGTTAGGCCGATTCAATAAATGTTCCACCTATCAACCTCGTACGGCACAGAAACAAACACAAATAAGAACAACTGATGCCGAGGTTACAAGAAGAGAGAAGTTGGACTAAAAACAAATTATTTGTACAAGGCACAAAATACATTCACTGTACAGCGAGGATGGCTCAATTTGCCGCCCAGCCGCACACCACCCAGCTTCGACGTCGAACAGTACACCTTGGTGTCCAGAGTCACGATTCGCGTCGCAGGTTTCGCGCGCCTTCGCTTCAAGCAATTTACGCTGATTACGCGATTGCACGCGTTTACAATTGCAAGTCCCGTTGAACATTTAAACGGCCTGAGGTGACAACAAATGGAATGATGAGCAGGCGTAATTCAGCTCATCACAATCAAGCATCAGCTGGGATTTTAGGATGGCAGAACATCTTGCACATATTGAGTCGGGAACACTTGTTGATTTTTCCAATGACCCGCGCGTGAATCTGCCGTAAATCGCTTAATCGGAGAGATCATGGACTCGAACACAGCTAGGAGGCTGCCTCTAATAGGCCTGTGGTCGCTACGCTATTAGCCGCTATTACTAAACAAATGCTAGAGCACTTGGCTGCAGGAAAGGGTGCTGTGTATAAACAGTGACCAAGTAGGAGCAATGGAATTACTTTCAAGTGGGTCGCTAATGTTAACGCAATAATTAAGAATTATGGGCAGCACACTGATAAACTATAGCTGTGTCGAAATTATCGTATACCTGAAAGTAGTAGAAAGACATGGGCAAAAATGGGTTGATATTACTCTTCATTTCTCCTTTCCCCCGAAATGGGGCATTCCTAAGCAATCCCACCCGGCCGTACCCGCGGGGTTAGCGCACTAGTTCAGGGGCCGTAACCTATCCTTTCCCCAGGCTAGGGGATAAAAGTCATTTGAATTTATTAGTTCTTGAAAACAAATTTCCCCTTTCCGCACTCGTTTGCTTGTACGCTTATATACACATTACAAATATGCAGTTTTCAGGGCAATTTTTGTTGGAAAGAAAAGAAAATAAAATAGAAACTAGGGTCCAGCACACACCGACCTACCTACCAAGCCGCAGAGAAAAAGGTGGGCAATTTTTATTATTTGAATTGTAACAGGAACGAGAACTAGATGTGGTTTTAGTTTAAAATGTGAAAGGACATAAATTTGAGAAAAAAACTAGAGAAAATATAAATTTATCAAAAAAAACGTACCAACTTTTCCTGTGGGGAAAAAGAAATAAGTAGCCGGTAGAAGAATAATTGCGTAAAAGGAGACGAGGACGTAGTAAAAAGTGTTACCCACTTCATCATATTCGAATGAAGCCCGTCCCATGGCCTGGAATAGAAAGGTTTACAGCTGAAAAGCATAGTCCAACGTGGACAACATAGCGAAATCGATAATGCATAAATTTACAGCTCTATGATGAAAGCAAGAAATGGAATTAACCCAAAACTCGTTCAAAACATGTAGCGACAAGGGAATACAAAATGAAAATGAACAGAGATGTTTGACAAAGAGCCGTTTCTACCGAGGGCTTTGGCAACCAAATAAACACAAGCCGTTCCTTGGGTTTTACGTTAAAAGAAGTTGAGGCACGTATCTATCACTGTGGGTTCGTTTAGCCGAAGCAGCATGACTAAAATTCCATTCATGTGATAGCACAGGTAGCAAAAAGACGCTATCAATATTGACTATCAACTCACGAGCTAGGTTTTTAATCCAGGTTTAAACAACAATTAGATGAAGAGAATTTCGAATAAACCTGTTAAATTAAACCAGGTACCCGGAACACACAGCTGTGCAAGTAACTCCAATTAGAACATTTCCTTTTCATGGCAGCATAGCATACATTCTTCTCACTTATAAAGTGTGTTTCACTAGGACAGAAAGCGAATTTTCGCTTTTCGCACGCGAAACATTTTCGCTGCGGGAACCTCAGGTCCACCGCTGATCATGGGTGGACCTGGGGTTCCCGCAGCGAAAAAAGTTTCGCGTGCGAAAAGCGGAAAATTCGCTTTCTGTCCTAGTGAACCACACCCTCACTTCTGAAGCCCGAATGAAGTGATTAGAGAGTTAAAATATTCACTGAACCCTTGGGTTCAGGAAGACACAAAAGAGGTGGTTGTAGTCAGGCCACTTCTAGGCGTAAACATCTCTCATTGAATGGTCATGGCGAACTAGGAATGGATCCTAGGTCGCTATGGCTATTTAATAAGAGATGTATCCGCTTAGATGTGCCTTTCAAACGCTGATCTCAAATCTACCTTCCAAATCTGCTAAACGATTCTCTGAACGGAGTTATGAAGCAAAATAGCGCAACGGTAGTGGTCGGGACTCACAGTCAAAACGTCGTAGGATCGGTCCCTTATCGTCTGTTACGTTCTCTTTTTTCGGGAACACACGCTAAATAGGATGTCAACGCTATTAGATGTTTTTTCGAAAAAGCACGGCAGAAAACACGACACCGATCCGACGAGACTCTTGACTGCGAGACCCAACCACTACCGTTGCGCCCTTTTGCTACATAACGCCATTCATAGAACCGTTCAGCAGATTTGAAAGGCAGATTTGAGATCAGTGTTAGGAAGCACATCTATTCATCCAGGTACTCTATCCTTATATGGGTGTGGCGACATAATCCTTTCAGCGCTCATGTCATTAGGGGACTTCAGAACAGAGCATTCAACACCGTTGGTAGGTGACACTAGGACTAACTCCCAGACTGGGAATAAATACAAGAGAGAACGATGGTTGCTCTCAAAATCCTATCCCCTCCCTAAAGCTTAGTCCCAAGTTCTATCAGTGGCCCACTCATTTCAATGTCCCCCCTAACGACATGAGCGCCATCCTTTCCCTTATAATTATCCTCAAAAATCCACCTCCGGAAAAAGACGAAAAGCTTTGGCAGTTAAGTAATAGAATCTCCAGCATCATTCTCCGTAATACAGTTTCAATTTCCAGCTCAACTGTTTTGTGTTGTTTTCAGGCACATGCGGCATTTCTAGAGAAAAATTCAGCTCCAAATATTAACTCTAGCGAGTTTTCAAAATGCAAACATCAACCATAGTATGCGACGTTTGACAAACAAAACTTTGCTCTAAATTATTCATATTTGACCATTAAAAGTGTACACAAATCGACAGAACGTATAAACGAAGAGACGCCACGCGAGCTTTTCCGTCGGCTATGATGCGAATTGTGAAAAAGCGATTGTATAATGCGAATACGGAATTCCCAAACTAATGTCCAAACGTGCAGAATGGAATCCAAAGCAGGTTAGAATGATACCATTCCAACAAAATCGCAAACCATTCGTTTGTCGGTGAGCAGATCTTCACGACAGCCATGTGACTTGTAGCATGAACTTATTTCTTTTCTAGAAAGTTGGCAATGAGGAGATGTTCTTGACTATTTCTGAAGCCCCATAATCACAACATTAAACTGTTTATTCCGAAGAAAATCTGGACGCAGGCTGATTTTCATCAGCCACGGCGGCCAGCAGCAGTTCAACGATGGTCCAGTCGCCAGGCGAATCCCGTCGGGACCGTCCTTTCGCGGCTTGGCTTGACTTCGGTTTCGATTCGGCGTCCCTCCTCATCTCTTCATCACTTATCTGCTTTCTTGTGAAAGCCTCGGTATTTTTTGTTCTGTCAGTATTTCTGAAATTTTCTGATTTCCTCATTTCTTGCCGGGTATCCAGGCGTTCGACTCGCTTTTCTCTTTGCTCCTCTTTCGAGAATTTTTACGGTCCTGGATTTCTAGTCTTACATTGTGTTTCCTATTCAGTTATCCTCAACTTCCGCAATACCTTTCTTGTCGCCTTTTGTAGACAAAGCAACGATCACATTGAAAAAAAAAGAAAATTTGCGAGTGTCTGGTTTCCATTTGGAAGTTTTGCGTTGTTGCACGTAGTTCAGAGGTTGTAGGAAATGGATGTTCACGAGATGTTGGGATTTTGGGATTTCTGGGTGAAAGAATCTTAAAAACTGTTACGTCTTTGATTGCTATTATCTGAATTTTCATACTAGAGGGTCGCTTTCCATACGCTGTCATACTGTAGACAGTTTTTCTTTTCGTTCGAAGATAGTTTCCTTCCATGTGATAAATAAAATCGAAATAAATAGGTCACAGATAGCAGCAGAATGTTTTAATGTGATTATTTTTCACAAACGAACCTTCCCGTAACTATTGCACTATTGCTGCAGCTTCAGACCCTCTCCCCCACCACTCTCCACCTTCATCGGTATGGCACAAAAACAGATTATCTTGCTGATTTCTTACCTATAGAGGTAAGAAATATTACGAAAATTTTGGGCCAGGTCCTGCACCAAGTTGGCGCTAAATGGCGTCACCCCAAAATCAGGGAGCCGGATAACTCCTTTGTGTGATGCTGGAGCAGATTTTTTTTGGAGTTCTTGGGCTAATCGTAGCCAGTACCAGTTTTTCCATTGGAAAAAAGGAAGTTGATGGTATCCCTGGTCTGAAGAATTTGTTATCCAGGGATGCGGAAAACTTCATGTGGCACTTGAACTTCCTTCATCGGAGCGGTGTATTGCGGTTGAGTAGACAG